TATATATATATCAAAATAAAAGAAAATGGATTTTGCAAGAATTCAATCATAATTATAATGTATTAAATGTATTGCTTGCAAAAGAAATCGATGAATTAATTATAAATTCAAAAAAAATTTTTTTTTGAATCTATAACTTATTGAATATGTCGCGAAAAAAGAGCGATGTTCGTAATAATCATTTTTTAGGACATTAATAATAATAATTTCTTTTCCATCTTAGTAAAATGTATGGATATGAAAATGATCAGTTATTGCCATGTATATGATTCATATTAAAATGATTATTACTTGTGTCTATTTTTTATATCATATAAAGAAAGTAATTAGCATTACTGTTTTTACAGACTTATTAATTTCTAATAATTGTCTATCCGTTTGATCTATGTATGCGTGTGTATGCGTGTGTGGAAATGAATATTAAACTACAGCTCGATTGGTTTTTTTTTTTTGCTGTGTAAAAGCTATAACTTTTATCGTTATAAATCGAAAACAAACAAGTTCGCATGCAAAAAATAATAATAATAGTTAGACAAAAATAATGATTATTAAACATGAAAAGTTATACTTTAATAATAATAAGACATGATTAACGAAGGCAGTTGGTAAAAAGTATTAGCTTTAAATTATTATAATAATTTAGTGTAGTAAAAAATATTATTAATCAGTTAGTAATGAAATATAAGTAATCAGTCATCGAATATATTGTAAAGTATCAAATTCGCAGCACACTTTTTTATTTTTTGCAAAATTTTTGGTTTGAAATTTTAGTCTTATAAAAAATTTATTAATTATAAAGATAATAATTTCAGTATTTATGCATATTTCTTATGTTATTTGCAGTCTACCGCAACTTCTTTATCCAACGGCTGCAACAGCAACAGCAACTGCTACTAATCCATTAATTAATGCTTTAAATGGCTTGCAAAATACTGCAGCTTTGACTGGAACAGGTCAAGTGAATGCGTCGCAAACTCAACAACAGTATATCGATTATGCGACGTTAGCTGCGGTTGCAGCGGCTGGTGGCACAGCTGCTACTGCGGCACAGAATCCATTCTCGCTTCATCCAACTGGTAAGCATATTCAAATTTTTTAAACAAAATAAAGTGCGAATAAAGATTTACTGCCTGCAAAGATATTATTGAAAATTTTTGCAAAAATATTTATGAAGGAAGATAAATTTCCTATTTATTGCAATTATTTTTGTATTGAAAAAAAAAATTGTATTATCGAATTTTCTCTTTCAAAAGATGTGTGATGAAGTAAAGCTTGAAAGTTACACGTGAAAATAAAAACTTTGATGAAAAAGTTGTATTTTTGGAAGTAGATAAAGCATTAATTGATAGTGTGAAGCGAACCATTAATTGATAATGATAATGATGATGAAACGTTATTTTTGCTTAATTTTTTCATGTTATGTATAATTTCCACATATTTTTTCAGTATCAGCAGCTGGTACCATGGGATTGGAACAGTATGCTTATACACCATATGGTTTGGTACCAACAAGCAGCTATGCAGCTCAATTAAGCGCAGCGCAATCGCAGTTAGCTGCGGTAACACAGCAACAAGTTGCCTTGGAGCATCAACGTGTATGACGCATTTTTTGCATGTCAAAGATTTTTAAATAATCTATGATACACGTCTGGACCCAGTGTCAACGTGATACTTACATCAAGCATTATTACTTTAAAAAATATTTTTAAAATTTTTGATCAATAAATGCTAGCAGACACCTGTTTAGCTGAATTTTTAATTAATATTTTAAAAATTTTATTTATTGAAATAAAAGTAAGCTTTCATTGAGAATTCTTGTTAAATTTTGAAGTGTTGAAAATATTAGTGAGAAGACATAGTTATCACTGTTTTCGATCTAGAATTTGATTGTAGGTTGATTAGATCGAAAAATAATGATCATTAAACTTGAAAAATTATATCCAAAATAAAAACTTCATGTGTAATCTATTTGATAGTTTTTTGTATTTTATTCTAAAATTTGTCATACTAAACGTTTGAAATTTTATAAATTTTTACTCGGTGAAAACTCTATTACTATTATTTATAATTTTATCATTTTTTATCTTATTATAATTTTATCATGATTTTATCACGGTACTATCATTACAACATCTTGAAGGTGTAGTACTTATTTTAGTCATTACTAGTAAAAGCAAACAAGCAAAGATGAGTGACTGAATGATCCAGTTTTATGGTCACAATAAGATATTTCATTTCTATGGTCAGTGAAGGTAGATAAGAATTACATTTCTATGCAAATGATTTTTTGTTCTACCTAGATCAGAGCATTCTTTTTGCTATCTTATCTGAGGCAGTTCTGAAAATTATTAAGAGTTTTTCTTGTGTTTAGCATTCTAACACTGCTGATTGAATTTGAGTTTTAGTTCATTTTTTCTCTGAGTATATTAGTAGATTAGGAATAAGCTCATAGTATTCTATAAAATGATGCATATTAAATTATTCATTTATTTCGAGACTTTAAAAAAAAAAATAACTTTTTGCTTGTCATTATCGTACATGTATCTGCTTAGATATGTTGTAGTTTGTGTGATTTTCAACAAATATTATTTAATTAACAAAATGCATTTACTTCCCTATGAACTGTCAGATGGTAGCTCAAAGTTAAAGTTTATTTTTCTGGTAATTTTTTCGAATTTATGAATTTTATGCTTTATTATTATATTAGTTGCACCAAACTTAGCTTAAATCATTTCTTTCAAATTTTTATATTCATTACATTGCTCAGCGTGAATTGTGTTCATCACTGCAATGAATATATCATTGTTTTTATTAAATGATTCTAAAAATCTTACTTGCGCTATTTGATACCAGAATCAGCAATTAATAATAGATTAAGCAATATTTAGTATTACTAAAAAGCGTCCTTAAAAGATCAGTAAGATGAGTAGTAACAGAAATTCATTAAATAAAAAACAGCATCTATATGGTACTTGAAATTGCGTATGAGAAGTGGACAAATTTTTACTGATCTTCTCAAGGAAAAAAAATTGAGGGGAATATAAAGCGAATAGTCGTCCCCGACCGTAATTTATTCATTAGAGAATTTTCATGTCTTGTTTAGAATAAATCTATGTTTAAGTAATTGAATATCTGCTTAGATCAGAATCTATAGACTGATAATTAAAGAAATAACTAAGATGTACGACAAATAAGCATTTGCGTAACGTGCCATTTTGATTTGTATGCTAATTAAGACTGATTCGACTTATTCTAATATTTTATATGCTATCCTAACTTTCGTTTAATCACTAAAATAAAATGCAACAGTCTTATACTCTATACTTTAATGTATAAGTTATACTTTTTCAAAATATTCATAGTTTCATTTGTATTGCCTTTGTCTCAGAAAGAAAAAATGCTTTACTATGTTAGATAAATCGGAAACGGTATGTACTTTTTAATTAATGCATATCATTAAGCACTTCCTGGAAATCTTAAGAATATGCCTAAAATCTTGGCCACATATCTCTACACAACATTGTCCATCTACACTAACCAAATTTTTAATAATCATTGTACACCAGTTCCTATCTAATTAGTCCTATCAAATCTTATGTTTCTAGTACTTATTATGTTAGCATAATTTACTTACTAGCAATTGTTTTCTTGTATTTATTTTATTCTTGGAGTTTTTCTAGTATAATCCATTATTTGAAGCCATGAATGATAAAAAATGCTCTGGCAGTAGAATTTTCAAAATAAAATCTTGTCCTCTTATGTTCCAAAAATAGATCGAAACTAATTCATGCTGTATCTTAACATTTTAGATGTAACGCAGGAGATTCCACGATCATTTTGATACAATTTACATTTCAAATGCATTCACAGTTCCATATCAATAAATGCAAGTATATGCAATTAAAATACAAAATATATTACAAAAATATACATCAGTGATAGAAATCATACTGCAAAACCTTATATATGTTACTTATGTTCATTTAGAAAAATCCTAGCATCAATTTAATCGGAAAAATGAAAGCAAATTGGGACTTAAAAATCCAACCATAAAGATCTAACGAGTACCAGTAACATTTTGGTGCCATTTCAGATTTTAATTCGAATAAAAACTTTATAACATCCCTATGAATCTTAGTATATACAAAGATTACAAATAAACTACATCACCTGACAAGCAATTATAAAATGAGAAATGATCATTTAACATTAGAAAAAAGATGGAAAATTGGAAATCAAAGTCCTCAAAGTCGTGAGCAATTTATAAAGATTTCATATACTGCTAAAGAAAATTTAAGATAAGCTTTTATTTTGATAACTAGTCGAAGTTAGCCTAAATACTGACACTTCAGTCCCCAGATGAATTTATTCCAAGAAACAATTATATGCAACAACAGTTAAATTCTGCAGATAAATTCGAAACTTCACGATTTCAATTCATATGTTCAATAATCCCGAGAAAAAGAAATCTTTAAAAATGCATTCAAGGTATGCAATATAAATTCAATAGTGAAATCTATTCTTAATGATATGTTAGCAATTCGAGTTATCCGAAATTCAACATATGTTTCATTTTCCAGATGATAATAGCAGTGTACAAAATCATTTTAGCAGAGCAGCAACATACTTATACAAAACTATTCTTAAGAAAATAAATGAAATATAACTAAAGTAATCTAATATTAACTTACCAATCAATCTAAATTAATCTTTATAATGTTGAAAATAGATCACATTAGTTTACCATACAAATGTTCATCAACTTTTTCTCATAAAACAGAACTTAATCTCAATGTTTAACATTTAGTAAAGCAAAATCAATGCAGGAAACAAAGAAAGATAAATAAATGGTCAAGTTACTGTAAACAAATTGAGCAAATCAAGTCAATACTTATTTCTCCATTCCAACCATCTTGTGCTATAATTAGACTACTTCTATTCCATTTAAATGGCAACAAAGAGAAAGAATGATCATTATAGGATTTTACTTCTCATTAGATGAGTTAATATCTTTCTTGTTAATGCTCTCTTTTTTAATTAATCATGAGATCAAATTTTACTAATTTCTCACTCTTTGACATATAAAATTCTCAGAATAAAATATATTAGAATACTACTCTACGCCGAGATATTTCACCTTTATTTTTGTTTAATACTATCTAATTTACAATCCATCTATTATAATATTACTATAGGCATCTTTCAAGAATTAGTTCCTAGCAGGAGCTAAACTGGTGAGCATAGAAGATGCGATATAAAATATAAATAATTAATAGAAATATATAAATTAGTGTCGGTATAGAAAGTAATCGTTTTACTAGTATGCATTCACAACACGAAAAATAAAATTTTATTTGCTTGAATAATTCAAAAAATTTAGCTGCTGACATAACAGTTTTAGCGTTAAACAAACATCTAAACTAATATGCTTAAAACCTGATTTTAGCACTTGATGGTTCCACTGAACCTTGTTCGATGACACGGCTGTTTTCATCGGTATTCTATAAAAGAAATAACTGCTTTCCTTTATAAATAAATGCAAAGCATTACAACTTTAATGACAAAAGAAGTTAAAATTATTGAGCATAGATTCCGCTGTCAGAATCCCAAACTAGTAGCTTTTGAAGGAATTTAAAAAGGCAGTTTTAAAACTGAAACTAGATCATAAACTAAGAGATGTATTTAACAAAATGCAAAAGTTCTTAGAAAGCTTACTTTTTGTTCACTTGATCCAGCAGCTGAAATGTGATGGACATCTGAATGGTAACATGTTTTATTTTCATCAGTTTCCTTAGAATGAATATCAGGAGGATCAGCATCAGAAAAGTTTTCTACTGCCTGCAACTTTCTTCTTATTTTTAACATCTGTGGAAAATTATTTGCAAGTTCTTTTAGTGTTTAAACTCACGGCAAATGTTTCATTCCCAACATCAAATGCATGGTTGTCTACTGCAAAAGGTCTTTCGTCTCTTGGTTCGGGAACGCATTCCTACAAGCAAAAATAACTAGATCAATTTGTTTGGCAACACATTCACTTCTAATTGCAAAATATTATTATTAAAAAATTGTGTAAATTATATTATAATGGTGTGTTTTCTAATTCATTAAGGGAAAAACGAAAAAATAAATAAATGAAAACATACCGATTGCACTGCTTCTTCGTTTCTCCGTGGAGCCCGTGTTGAACTATGAACCATTTGTTGATAACATGGGCGTAGAGTTCTTCGTATATTTTTGGAAACAGCTTCTAAACGATTAGATATTAGACCAATACGAGAAGTATCACATATTTCTACACCTGTTGCCTGATTTGTCTGAATGATCGGCACAGCCACACCAGAAGGTGGTACAATACAATTTGTTGAGCTGATTCCATCTGAAAGATTTTAAACACATGACAAAGACAAAGAAAGCTTAGAGGGAATTCTTGTTTCTACAACACGTCTGCGGCAAAAAATCTAATCAAAATTCCTTGCCAGATATATCTCTTCTAAGTCTTTCTCTCTGAACGGATGATACCAAATTTCTAGACGCCACCTGCAAAAGCCACCACATAGTAGATTTAGGTCAATTACTGTGCAACAAATACACAGAAAAAACCGTGGAAAATCTTGATTTTAATGCTTTTCAATTAATACACCAAAAAAATATGACTGCGATGTTTAAAACTGAATAGTACAGGTTCTGCATTTCGAAGTAATGGTGCATTCTCCCGATTCAATGTTGCAGAACCCGAAGCAGATGTAGAATCACGCCTTTCATTTTCAGAATCAGACGAGTCAGATTCCCCGGTTGATAATACTTTACGTTTGCATATAGGACAAACTTTCCGTATCTTTGTTAACCATGGATCGATGCATTTGCAGTGATAAGCTGTAATGAAAATTATTGCATGAAGATGCTTATCTAGAATTTCAGAGAATTCAAAAATAAAATTTTAACAATAAACCTGAAAGATTTACCATGACTGCAAGGTAGAACTCGTAATTTTTCACCTTCAATGAATTCATCGATGCAAATTGCACATGAATCCTCTGCCTCCCCTAAAATTATTTCATTTATAAGATTGATCATTCAAATGCGAACAGAAATAAAAACCAAGATTTTACTGGCATTTAAGTACTTGATATAATCAAAACAAGTTGTGATCATTCACTGCTAATAAAATTTTGGAAAATATATTCCTCGTGATTTTAAACCTTTTTTGAATCTTTTTGTAGGTAGTTTTTTTAGATTTCGTTTTGATAATCTCTTTCTGGCTAAATGTCGACGTTCCCGACACAACCGTACAGTCTGAAATGCGTTTAAAGTAAAGCCATCTTTATAGATAATCTTTCAAGGAATACCTGTGAAAATGTATACAATCATTGTTTGTTAATTATAAAAAGCTAAACTTGGCGAATTTACCCTGCCTTAACGAATCTAGCGCAGCTTCAATAAACATGAAAAACAAGTTTTTTGAATCTTAACATGCAGCAGTTTATGATAATCACCTACCACTTACCAAAGATATACAAAGCACAACAAAACAAAATGCCACAATCGCAACCAGAGGAATAAGATACTTAACAAGATCATAGTATCCAGGTATAGCCCGCAAAGCTACTCTATACCTAAAATATTTTCATTTTCAAATTGGATGTGGATGCATCTAAGAGATTTAGAAAAAACTTGAACCTTGAAAGTTTAGCTTTTGAAAAAATAGATATTGAGTTAAAAAACAAAAAGAGGAAAATGAAACACGAACTTACCCTTTATGAGCTGGAAAATGATCCATAATGTTTGTCATGCACGTATATGTTATCATCACAACTGGTATTATAACTCGATCTGCATATTTACCTCCAGCCATTGGTACCGGTGAATGATTTTCACTATTAAAAATGATCAAGGCACTATATGGATCTGGATATCCTCGCTGTGCATGATATGCCTAAAGTTTTTAACACTATGAAAGTTTAATTAAAGATACATAAAGTGAAATGGAATCAAAATGGTTAAATCATACTTTTAATAAATTCCAGCCTCATCTGATAGCCAGTTATGTTTACTGCTTTAGATAGCTGAGGTCGGAAACTAAGTAAAGAAGCAAACAAATTTCATGAAATACCTTTTCGGAAAAACTGCAATTGCCCCGAGGAACTACTGCATAATAATGTACACACCCAGTTCGATTATTCTGCAAATGTTATGCTTGAATTCTGCAGATAATCATTTACAAGATTGGAAACACTACAGTCCTTTAAATTTTTTGAGACAGTTTCTAGAAATTAGATAAAAATACTTAAGATCTTTTTCATTGAAAATAAAAATTCACTATATTCTAATAAGAGAAAAAAACAATTGATAAAAATTGTCTCAATGCACTAAAAATTATATTCATCATACATTTTCATGAATCAATGCCTTTTAGTAGTATCAAAAAAAGTATACAAAAGTATCAGTGCAGGAATCCTCTGGTCTAGTAAAATATGCACAACCAGTATCATTAGGATTGAAATTTATGGATGGAATACCACCACCAAAATCGGCACCCGTTGCATCACATTGTAAAACTGCATCATAACCATCTGGCTTCGGTTCCCACTGCAAAGCAAAAAAAGACAATTATAAGGCAAAATTCAATTCCTAATATTTTTCTACATTTTATAAAATCAGTCAAAAACAACAAAAATCATATCAGATTTTTTCAACATTCAGACCATCTCGCCTATTTTATTTCCTGATTAAATCTATCATTGCAGACATGGAGAAGTGTTGAGTATTGGACAATTTAAAATACAATATTCAATAAATTGCAGACGTTATGTGGATTTAAAAAAGATGAAAAACTTCATATATAATGCTACTTTAAAAAACATACCACTTCAACGACATACTGTGCACGTAATGACATTACGATTATAGCAAATTCCAATAACCAAAAAATTTTACAATTAACGGAAACAACACGTAAACCCATTTATGCCCGTTACTTTTATTTTTAATAGCAAAAACTTTGGTTTAAAATAAAGTATTCATTCGGTTCAGTGACTTCTGAAAATTCAAATTTAATCAACAGTACAGATCTATACAACTGCTAGATAACGCAATTGAGATACCATTAACCTGAAAATTAAATTAAAAGAAACTGGATTCAAATTGTTAAGTTAAACTCAATCGGACAAGTTTTTGAACCAAAAACAAACGATTTCTAAGATGAAAACAAAAAAATTTAAAATACTAAAGTATAACAATACTAAATACTAAATTTTGTGATCTGCTACAAATAACTCTAACAAGAGTTATTTGCAGCAGATCAAAAACATGCAATTAGAAACAATGACCATTTGGATATAGAAACCAAAAGAAATAAGTATTTCAGATATGCATATTTATAATTTTTGCCACATTACACGAACAAACCGTTGCGATTGATTTTTGTACAGTGACAATGTTTCTGAATTAAAAGGCAAATTTCGTGGTTAACAATTTCTCAAGATATGAAAAATAATCTTGGAGAACCCAGATATTTTCTAATTCTCTGCAAGGAGAAAGTTAGTGGAAAAAATCTACATGCTACCTTTTGAAAGGTAAAACCAGTGAATTAAAATGAAATCAATGTTCTTACAGGACAGGACAAACATCTTAAAGTAAAATTATTTATTACACCTAGTACAAATAGTAAATCAATAATTACTGAATAAAACTTGGGCAAGAATCAAATCTTCAAAACCCTGATCTGCAGATGGCTTTATCTATGAAACTCAAACCATATTTGCCATCATTCATCTCATCTTTTACATCCTAGAAATCAATATTCAATATATATTCTAAATAATTAAACTAAAAAAGTGATGTAAAAAATATTAAACCAAAATAAATGTTTTAAATAAAGAAAAAATTAAGCAGTTTATGAAACACAATCTAATAACCAAACCATATTTATGAACATTTCTAATACTTACTCGCTGCGACAATGTTTACTTCACAAATAGCAAATTTGATTATCAACAATATTTATTTCTATCTGCCACAAAACAGCTTATTATTAAAAATGTTAGCTTATATTTGATTTTAAACTTATCAGTGCATATTTAAACAAGATATACTGCACTAAATTAAGCAAATAAAACAAATTTCAACATTGAATCAAAACAATCTTACAAAGAAGTAAACCGTTCAAATTATAATTATCCTTCCGTTTGATAAAGCCATAGCTATTAAAGAAACCACGTGTGCACCTTTGATGGTCTCATCATGCAATTTCTATTATTAGCTCAAAATAGGACCCTACTCATTGTTCTCTTTCTGAACGCTACAAGACTCTTGATAATTCTATTATTACACTTCCTATTGAAAATCTGCAAATCATATGACTAAGAGATACTCTTCAAACATTAGTTGAGGAGCTCTTTCTGAGTTAGTGAATATTAGCAGTTGCTAATTATCAAGCAATAACGCCAATTACGTAAACAGCGATCCTATCACGTTCTGAGTAATTTGATATCCTAGTTTCTAACGTGAAATATTTAAAACTTGTTGTTCCACAAAACCCTACTTAAATTACAGAGATTCTACACATTTGATAAAAATTTTAAAAAAAAGACTATTAAGCATTCAGTCCAATGCATTAACGGATATCCACAAAAATACAAGAAAACAATACAAGCTAACTATAAACTATAAAATTAATTATTTTTGAGTAATTACTGTACTTAGAAACGATAGACATCTTTCAGTGCATTCTGAACATAAAACAAGGTAACTAAAGTAGACAACACTGTTCCTTGATTAGTCTACTAGCTTCAAAAAATCGCACAATTATGTAGTTTATGTAGAGGTAAAACAATGTAAAGAAGAATATTTCAAATTAATCTAGTTTTGAACAGGAATCTTTTAAGGGACAATACTTCTACAAGAATATGCAGTAAGAAAATTTTTCAACATGCATTACTTGCCATCAAAAAAATTCAAATAAAAACTTGAAAACACTCAAAACATACGGATAAAAAATAATCTCTTGTACAAAGCCTTTTAGTTGGGCACATCTGTTAGGAATCTGAGCATTTTTGTATTCATATTCTGACACCAAAACTATGAATAGATAATTCAAGGATCACAGGTTGACACGATTGATACTGACGGCAACAGCTCGTTCATTTCGCTGCTGTTTAGTACGTTCTTTAAATTCTCTTTGAGTTCGATCAAAACGACTATTCGCTCGATTCTTAGTTGCCCCACGAAACTGTCCTTCCACATTACTCTTCGGGCGTACAACGTAATCTTTTTGGGACGGCCGCGGCACACGTGCTCGCATAATGAACCCTCTGTCACCAGGTCGTGGTTCTGATGTTTCTTTTTCAGCATCTGAACTTTCTGATCCAGCACTATAAACACCAAAATACAATTTCTATGATGATGACAAAAGTAGGAAACAACTACAGTCAAAAATATGTATTACACGTCCAAAAAACAGTCACTTTAGACGCCGACGCTTAGCTTCTGGTAATTGTTCATAATCTCGCTTTATGCGTTCATCTTTCGTCATAGAACGGAAATCCGTATCAAGCTGAAAGCAATAATATTTTTGGTTTGAAAATGATTGCAAGTATATTTAACAAATAATAAACCAGATTTCATTAAAATTTGTCAATGAACCATAAAAACCGAAACGATTTACACAACCATTATTTTTAATTTCATAAATCATTTACTTAACAGCTTGCCAAGGTAATAAAACTGGATGAAAAAGACTTTTCTGAGTTAATCTCGTAAATAATTGCGGCACTTTATGAGGAACAATCAAACTGCAAACCTGAAAAATTGGTCTAGCCCAATCACTAATCAGTCGAGCTGCAAGAGCCTTATTTTCTTTCGTTTCCCTTGGATGTTTATAAAGTAACATAACAGCTCGACCTAAACCAGATTGCTTCAACGTTCCTGGCTCAAGTCGACTAAAATCTTGCAAAATTTTTAGCAAATCTGTTCGGATTTCCAAAGCAGGTAATGATTTATCTGGTAAAGGTGCCAACCATTCTGATATCACATTCATCATACCATTATCTACAAATATAAAAAATTGTGATAAAATTCCAAAAAAAGAGATATTGCGATTGAGAATACAGTTTTGAAAAAAAGGCATGTTTTCTATAATCTTCCAAACATACAGGGCCATATTACATTTACTATCACCAACTCACCAATAACTGCTTCCATCAAATCGTGCTTCAAGAGCATTGCTTTGACACTAGAGAGCATTTTACGTTTTTGTAAAGCAGGAAGCCGCTCCATATTTGAATGACGATCATCCTCAAAAATTATAGTTTTATTCATAAACTTGGCTAAATACTCTACAAAAACTATTTCTATGATATTATTACTGGGATAAAATTAGGATATGTATTACTATCATTCAATTCCAATACTCCTCAACATTTTGCAACAAATAAAACTTAATGGGCAATGGATAAACTTAACAGAAAATGTCATTCTCATTTTAATTACAAATATATGATTACACATTTTTATCAGCTTTATCTAAAAAAAAAGAAAAACTGATACAATAGTAATTATACTATACCTACGTAATATGACTAAAAAATAACCGTCAAAAAAATGACTTTCTCGCAATAATATCTGATAAATTTATTTGGTCTATAGGAAATTACTTCACTACGTTCTGCACCGGAAACACAAGCAAAGGAAACCTTTGCAGCTGCTTTCATTGCGTCGATGAGAACTTTAATTTGATCATCATATGCACCACCGACATCAATTGAACCATCACGTCGACGTCTTCGTGGTTTTCGTCGCTCTGCTTTCTTCTCACGCATCATTGTATCGAAATCCCATTCTCGCCTATAACCTTTTGTAATTGCAACAATAAAGTTGCAAAATTAAACTATTCACAATTTGTTTCATCATAGGCAAGACTGAATTAATTAAAACTCCGCTTAATGCCCTAAAATTATTATCGTAAACTACCCAGCAAAACCCAATTCCGAATTCCATGATTTGTCAGAAAAAATTTACCCATAATTTTCGTCATCCTCATCACGAACATAACGTGGTTCATCGTCATCCTCTGCATTTTTGTTATCCTAAAAACAAATATTCAATCCTGCTTCTTTTAAGAATATAATGTGCATGAAAGTGATTGAAATACAAAAATAGCTTCACTTTACACATAAAAATTTTACTACTAGTTGAAAAATCATGACAGCATGTAGGTATAAAATTTGTAAACAACCTGAAAGTATATCTGGCAAAATACTAAAATTAAATAAACAAAAACTATAAACACCTCAATCGATACTCAAAAACGGTTAAGAGAGACAAAAATGAATACTCCCATGAAAATATAAGCAAAATCAAAACTTTTTGAATGTCCACCCTTTGTCTTTATCTGAGGAAAAAAGCAATGTTTTTGCTCTTTCAGCAAAAAAAAATTTCTACCTGATAATGCGAATGAGAATTCTCTTCGTTATCGTCTTCATCGTCACTATCTTCACCAAATATGTTTGTCATTAGCTCACCGACACCAACTTTTGAATGTGTATCGTCCACCTCGGATTCCGAGTCGTTTCTGCAAGCTTGCTAAATATATCTCATGAGAGACCACAGACATTTACTCACGAGTAAGAAAATTGATACTTGCTCAAATAAGCGAAATAAGCAAAATAAGTGAACGCTAAATCTTATATAACAAGTTAGTTTCATTCAATGATAAGAAGATACAAGCCGATAAAATGTGACTTTTGAGAAAAAATTTGATGTTCTCACATCAAATCCAATTCGGATAAGAGTCAAATGTAATCACCCTGATTTTTGTGTTGATGGAATACCTTCTCCATTATCTTCATCATCACTTGATAACACGATACGTCGAGATTTCGAAGGACCTGGTTCGTTAGCTAAAAACTGGTTTACTTTGAAATAATGAATCTATCAAAAAGATGTCAGCACACATGCTTCTCCGATTATTACAAATAGCATATTTCTAAAATTTTCATTGCTAGGTAAAATATTCCTGATCTTTAACACTACCTTCTTTCTCGTCATCACTTGTTTCGTGATCAGTCCCTACTTCACTCTCCTCACTTCCATTCCCAGCTACTTCTTTAACCTCAAAACCTTGATTTGATTTTGCAACCAAATCATCAAACTCTGCTTGTCTTACTTCTTCTAGTGAGCTAAAATATTTTAAAATGTCAACGGAACCCAAAATAAAGAAAAATTTTCGTAACTTGAAGCAATTAAGAAATGCACCTAAATTATGCAAAAAACGAACTTGTATTTAAAAGTGATGTAAGTTTATCTTCATCGCAGTAATATAAATAGTATAGAAAACATGTTGAGAATGCGAGTGTTCACGTTTATTTCTCACAGAATTATTCGAAACATAACTCACGTTTGGTCAATATAACAAATTCGTTTGATCTCTTCTGCTATTTTCAGCCATTATAAATCAGCCTAATCATTTATGCAACAAACTTACTTTGGAGAAGAAGAGTGAGAACATAACAAGTGCTCTGGTTCGTCTTTTGTATCAATAAATTCTGCATTAATTTCATCAGCAAACTAGAAAAGGAGCAATAATTCATTCAATATTAACAAATTCGGTATAAATTCTTTTATTATTTAGATTTTAACATATTTAAACTTAATATTCACACTTTATCGAAATCGTTATAAGATTAAATATTTATACTGTTCTAGCATTTGTCACATAGGACAAAAAGAATCAAATGCTGCGAATTTTCAAATTTAAGACACCTGTTTTGGTTCTTGCGACCTCGATGAAATGCTACCATCACTGCGATTATAATCAAAATTTTCCAATTCTTGATGGACAGTAATATCCTCATCTGTTTTCTCCATGCTTAAAATGTGAAACATTACATCACTGTTACATCTTATACCATATTGAATGAGTAAAGCAGCTAATTTTTGAATTCAGCAGTGCAAATTTTAATATAAAATGTTTGTGCACAAATATTACAAAAACAGAACCACAAACGAATGCAAAGGATTATATCAATTTTTTGTAATTATAACTCAAAAACCACCTTTTTTTAATAGATATCAATTTTTAACAGAGTTCAAAAAGCATGCTGCAATGATCTCTATGCCGAAACAATAATCAAAGAAATATTACAAGTAATAATACAATACTTGAAACTGTTATTAGATGCGTATAACAAATTTTACGCAAAAAATTTATTCACGCAGATACAAACCAAATTTCAGTGTCAGTTTGCAACTATCTTGGTTTCAACATGAAATGTTGAAGAAAGATACGTTTCTCGAATGAAACCCGCATATTCTTGTCCAGAATTACGTCCACTGATATACTTATTTCCATATAGACTAACAATACTCTTTCTACTTTTATTAAAGCTAAGACTTAAGCTTGTTTATGTCAGTAATATTTCGAAAAACGAATAAGACTCCTCATTTTACGATATTTGATTGCTGCAATTACCTTGCATTTAGATTTTTGCATTTATTACAAGGAGAGAATTGTATTGGTGAATAAAGCTGTTTGTGCAGATCTTGATCAACTTATTCAATTTGATCATAATAATCTTGGGGTTGTTGGAGATGCAGATAATGCCTTGTAGAGTGTTAAAGAAATGTTTTTGGAAGATTTATTCTCGATTTCTCGCCAAGAATGCTTAATATGTAAGTACATGTAATTCCACTCTTGCACTATTTCCGTGAATCTGAAGTGATGAGCATGAATTTCTTGTTAATGCGAAACTGAAGATGCCAAATGAAACCCTGAGAAAGTATGTTTGCTACTTTTGTTGACGAAAATTTGCTACTTTATTACTAACAATGTGCCTACATGTTAACGTGAAGTCGGTTAATGGTCTCACTTTTTTATGATACCGAGTTCTTTGTGGATAATCAAATTCCAGAGCATTCACGAGTATCAACAAGAATAAAGTCTATACATCAGACACCTTATACAAACTGTGTATGTTAATTTGCATGTATAATGAAGATTTAAACAAATGATACAGTTCTGAAATCTAGTATGAAATTTTAATTGACCTGAAAAAAGACAGTACTTCAAATAGCCATTGTAAGTTGATGGATGTATACCCACAATTTCTTTTTCGAAATCAATCCCAGAAGACTACATGAAGGAACCCGGTTTCTGTAGAATTGGGCTCATACCACACACAGAACGCTTACAACCTTTTTTTTGAATTCAATGTCAAAGCTATCTCTACCCAGGTTTTGATTCAGCATTACCAACAGTCCCTTCCGGACATTCAGGATAAAGATTCACTACACTTTTCCCAGGAACAAAAGGAGCGAATCTATTTGACATGTTATAATCAGAATCGATGAATACAGCATCAGGAATTATTTTAAAATGACTTGTTTTATGCACAGAAAATGCCTTATCAGTGAATCTTTTGCACACCATGAAATGAACCCCAATCCAACTGGAGTTTCCGCATACTGGCTACCCTTCCTATGCAGATAAATTAAACCAGTTTATTTGAGCAACGGCTTCTACCACCTGAATTTCCTAGCACAACTACCTGACAATAGCCCTTCTCGACTTCCTTACCTTTATCTTCAACACTTGTTTTTATGAAATACACAAATATGACTACTCTGCATCCTTAACTGATAGGATTCGTACCGTTGAAATGAGAGGTATGTGAAGTATTGGTCCAAACCTACAGAACTATTATAAGATGGAAACGGTGAGTAAAGGGCTGAGAACGTAATATTAAAAAATTTCAATCAATAAATTAAGACAGCTTCCAGAATCGCGCCAGCTTCCAGAATACAGAGACAAACAGGAGTTATGAGATACAATATGCAAGATACTTGCATATAAAGATCAACTGAGCCTAAAGCACATTATACGAGCTTAGAAAAGCTATGATATTAGTATAATGGCTATTTACATAATAACTCGATGTTTCTAAATTTTTCAGTTCTTAATTCTACAAAAAATTTTTTAATTCTTAATTTTAGGAAACAGACACCTTCAAAAACAAAATTGGCAGTAATAATAAACCGGAAAAAAATTTTTTTAATCAGAGCAATTCTATGAAATCAATTTTCATCACTGATAAGGAACAGGCTGGGCTACAATTGTAGCATCCATTCTTACAAGTGCTTGCCCAATATTCCATTTCTCTTGCATCAGATCATCGTACCGTTTTTGCAGTTCTTTTTCTCGCTTTTCCTTCAAATACAACACAGTACTAAATTGGTTTGCAGATCATCAGAAGACTGCAAGCCCCATTACAGATTCGAGAAACCAATACATACATTAAATATATCAATATATTTCTGCTTTTAGCGAAACACCATTATTTTTTGAGTCTTAATATTTCAAAATGTTTGAGTAGCAGTACTTACCTACAATTTTTACGTCACAGAGTGGGCAGGAATATAAGTAAACAAAAAATATTCATTTTATAAAAGTATATGAATATAAAACTAAAGAAATAAATCTGGATACACAAAAAACTATGAAAAACTGACTTGTTGAGTGACTTCCTCCGTAAGTTTGTTGAGTCGTTTACTGATCGCTTTTTCTTCATTTTTTTCCAGTAACTCAAACGTTGCTTTTTCACGTTTACATGCTTCTAATTCTGCTCGTACCTCGTCAATTAATTTGATCAAATGCTGAGCGATACTCTGAAAAATATTAGTGAACTTATATGTTTTATAAAAATAAACAAAATCAGGTTCGTAAACTAAGGAGAAAAAATTACACACATGCATATATTCTGAAAAGTAAAAGGTACTTGGTAACCAGCCAGCTTGACTTTCAATTTTTTTTCTAATTTTGATGTCTTTTTCGCTCGCGTCACCATCCACTCACGATAAAGCTGAAATTTAGTACATAATATTATTTTAAATTTTCGCAATAATTGAAGACAGTAGCACCTTAATATCTACAAAAATACCTGGAACTTGGCCGAAAGAGCATCAACTTGATCTTTTTTCGATAGGACACCTAAGCGTGTGAATTTATTTTGTGCCAAAACTAGTTCTGAAGAGCATTGTTCAATAACACCCCATAAGTTCGCATTTAAATCAACATGTTCTTCCTGTAAAAAAAAGAATGTCATGGCAGTCTTGACATGGTGTATTTGGATACACAAAAAACTACGTATTCACTCCTAAGAATAAGAATAAAACCTGTCTAAAAAATAATCAAACTTCTTACCGGCCGTAATTCTTTTTCAATCATCTTTTTAGCATTTTCTAATTCTTCTAGAGAAATAATATCAATTGCTTGATTTTCAACGTCGTGCTTTAATAAAGTAAACATTTCTGCCTTGATTATATCATCAGCCTGAAATGTGGATCAAAAAACTATGAAACATTAAATATTACTGTATTTACGTCACTTATTATCAGCTACGGCATAAGATTTGCTGATTTGAACATGTGTTAACCCTACATCATGAACTTATAACACCTTAATACTCATGCCTGAACCATGATTTTACCACTAACCACATAACTGCGAACTAAATAGTTACATACAACTTATGTTTCGATATTCAGCAAAAAAATTAGCAACTGTGCTCAGCGCTCAATATAAATTACCTTCCCTACATCACTTTTGCTCGCCATTGGTTTAAAACTTTGTTCGTTAATTTTCGTAGGCTTCGGCAAACCACGCTGTATAACTTGTGATTCATTTTTCAGTTTTCGCACACGCTCCAAATCTTTCATTTTTTCAGTCTCAGCTTCCACCTGAAATTACGACCAAAAACATCTGAGATCAACACTTATAAGGAATCACTAGAAACTTATTAAAAAATTAAAAACTAATTCAACACAAATTCATTAATTTAAAAAAAAAGAAAAACGTTTTTACATCGCTTGCATCTTCCACCCAATCAGTAGCTTCTTCTTGAGGTGTTTCTGTTCCTTCTTCCGGGACCATAATTACAAATTCATTTCGAGGTGCTGGTAAAGAACAAAGTGCTTTTTTCAAGTCACCACGAGAATCATACGATCTAAACATATTTGAATGTATTTCAAAAATTTTGTAAGAGCATAAAATATCTTACTTTGACTCGAGTAAATTTAAAAATTTTTCGGAAAATATTACGATTGTAAACTGTTGATACTCAGTTGGTCTCGGAAAGGTGTTGTCGATGGCGTCGGTGGTTCTGACTGCCCAGGAGTTCCTAAAACTATTTTTGCAAACAAACAAAAACTTCAGTCTAAAGAAAAAAAAATATTTCTAGAGTTTCTAGATTCTAAAGAATTATTTTAAGGTCAAGCACAAAACAGTGATAAAATCTCGATGAATACCTTGGACACTCGAAGAAGGTGTAGCTGCCATTTGAGAAAGAACAGTGTTTGGCGTAGCAACAAAGCGGTCCCGCGGTTGAGATGAATGCAAATTTAGGTCGTGGAGTGGTGTATTAACACCACCTTTTAGTGGTGTTGGAACATTCTGCAATGCGAGCAAATTTTCCGCTTCCTGAAAAAATGTTTAAAATAAAAGGCCTAAACATACACAAAACAATATACATAATAAACTTTTTCAATTATTTCGCTTTTAAACAGTACTACAGAATTTGAAAGCCGTGATTATGATTACTTTGACTTCAATTCACATAAACCTTTTTACAAATAAATCGGATTGCATTCAATTTAAAAAAATCTAACTATAACACGGTAGATAAGTTTAAAATACCTTTCGCAGAGCGTCAGCATACATAGAAGGGGTACGTGCTGTTCGTGCACTACTTTCATGCATCTGCACTTGATAATCGTGGAGAAGTGTACTAAAAAAGTACTCAAGTAAACAGAAAACTAAGAGAGAAATTATAAACCCTGTCTTAAATCTCTCACTGTAAGTTTTTTTTGAAATTTTTACGTGAAAGTTTTTCCAGTTTACACGCGATAACTTCAATTACCATGAACCAATGGAAAAATATTTTCGCTATACCTAGTAGGATTACTGTCTGTAAGATCACGAACAGTATCAGCAGCTTGTCGGATTTTAATTATATCTTCCATTTCTTTATCTGATATTTGTGGTGTCGGCAAAATAAGCTTCGAGCGTTTTTTTTCAATTTTGTGTTCGAATATTGATTCTGGGTTACCTTCAGATCTGGAAGCAAAACAAAGAATATAGACTGACTACAAATTTCAATAAATTTGTCAGTCTTATAAAAATATTGAGTGAAGAGTCTGAATGAACATTTTAACTCCTGACAAATCAGCGATATAAACCCTCAAGAAAATGCTATATTTAAGTTTCGATACTCAGAAGTCACAGCACTTAAGATCCTTATTACCATTTACTAGGACCTGAGAAAACGTAAAAAATGGTAGAACAAAGTTTCAATGAAATTCAACAATTCCTAATCTATAAAATTTAGTCTAAGCTTCCATAGAATTCGCGTATACTAAATAACTCTTCAAGTGACGTCTATTTTTTATGCACTGAGCAACATGGCAAGCACAGCTATAGTAAGAATCATGACAGCTGTAAACCACATACTGAAAAAATAACATATAACACAAACAAAATGCGATACCTTCGTTTTTTTAGCTTTTCACGATCTTTTTTGCGTTCCTCATTTTCGATATCATCACGCCGAACACCTTCGATTTCTGCTCTTGTCTGTTTTTTAAAGGTCTTATCTTTTTCAAATTTATCCTCAGATGGATCATAAAATCCGGGCGGTACAGTTTTCTCGAACGGAATCTGAATCAGTATTTCACCAATTAGCAGTGTAGGAACAGTGAAGAAAAAAATACAAATATCTAGTGTCATTCATCAAAAAAATAATTTTGTGAAACCAAAAAATACCAAAAATACTGATTGCTGTGAAAGTAAGAAATACTTTGATAAGCAATTAATGACTTGCAAAACAACATATGAGAGTGATAAAGAAATCGGATTTCCATACAGTTCGAAAAATTTCCCATTATCTTTGCTACTTCGAAAAACTCATTCAAACATATGAATGAGTTTTTCAAAGTATATATGAGTTTCGAAATTTTAGGCTATAAATTGATATGATAAAGATTTTTTCGTGAAATTTTTTTAAAATGACCTCTGCGCTGTAATCAAGATGTAACGGATTTCGGCGTTGAAACTTGTGCTGACCCCATGGTATACCAGCAGCACGAAGTTCGCGTCTTTTTTGTAGTGAAGCAAGTCGACGCGCTTCAGAAAGTTGCTTTTCACGAGCTTTACGCTTAGCCTTAAATGAGCAAAATTACGATATCAAAACCAGTTTACTAACAATTTTAAAAAATAATGTGACAACAGCACTACAAATATTACAATTATAAAATATCCTTGAGAACTTCCTTGAAATTCATCTAAACTTTTACAGTCAAACGCAACTAACCTTTTTACCCTGTGTATTTGCTAATCTTGCTCGAGCTTCTGAAAGCATTTCCAATTCATCCTCATCCATATCGATGGGATCAGGTCGAGCAGGTTTTGTTTCAGGAGTTGGGTCAATTTCACCAGGTTTCAATTTTCTCGCGTCATCCAAGCCCCCACTCCCTTCCAGTTGTTCTGATTTTTTTTGAGCCTGAAATAATAAAATAAGTTTACGTTTCAAAAGATTAATTTCAGATGAGAAATTTTCAATTAATTAAAAATAAAACTGCAAAAACCTCATCCAAAAGATATTCATAACGCTCTAGACACTGTGCAGCTGTTCGACCAACAATGGGTGCTATTGTCCGCCACTGTGTTGGCATCAGTTTTGCCAAATGCAGCAATTTTTCGTCTTCTGTTCGTGACCATTCTGTTTTCTTAATTCCAGGATCTAACCATTCACACCAGCGAGCCTGAAAACATATGACAAAATCTATCGCAACGAGCAGAATTAGAAAAATTATTAATTCTCAAAGCTATATAACTTAACTTGAAAATAAATATGATAGAACTGATTTTAAAAGACATGGTCGTTACTAATAAGAATATATTACAACATATTGATTAATAATACCTTGCACTGCTTAGCTGATTTTCGGTGCAGAAGAGATGCAATACGACTCCACTGGTTTTTTCCATATTTCATAACAGCAGCTTTAAGAATTTCATCCTGCAATAAACTTTAGAATTTCAGAAGAAAAAATTTAATTTATGCTCAATTTCTCAGTATATCAAATAAAAATGTCATCAATAATTTTTAATCCACAAAAAAATGATTTTTATAGATAATTAGTAATTTGCACACTGACTCCTAATGCAGATTCATATACTACACGAAGATATAGAATACAACTAAAATCAAGAATTGAGCTTACATAGTTCAGTACTATTTCTAATCATGAAGTGAATAAAAACTGTATACCTCGGTATTTCTCCACACTCCACCTTTGATAATAACGCGCACCATTTCGTTTCCTTCGCAGCAACTTCTGTAAAATGTATCAAATCATGAATTTCTAAAGTTGGCAAAGAATATGACAAAAATGTAAATGCTACATATGAAGCATATATCAAAAAATGATTACTAAACCAATCAAACCTTGGAAATTATTCTTTTGCAGATTCACGTTTCTACACCTCAAGTTTATCAAAATTATAAAAATTAAACTGTCTTCTTACAGTTTACCAGACGTAAAAACTGAAAAAACCTGCTGCTAAAGAAATTTAATTGAAAAAACTTGTTGCTACAAAAATTTTGAGGCAATTTTTTCTGTAAACTACTGGAATAACTGTATAAAATTTAAAATAATACTAAGAAAACTACCAAAACCACATATTACTGTTAATAGCATTGAATATAAACCGCTATCATTTTAAGATAACAGTTGGTGTGAGCTACTGTGATCCCGATATGCAAATTATTCGTCTCATAAGGCTACTGAAATCTTATACAACACATGGAATTTCTAAGGTTCTTCATATGATTTGCTTAATTTTTTCTATATAATTATACTTTTCTGTCATGATTTAATTGAAAGAACTTGCTGCTACAGAAATTTTGAGATAATTTTTTTTGTTTGACTAAATCATTTAATGAGCGAACAGCAAAATGAATGTACACAATTTAAAGTTTCACAACTGAGAACTTCTTTTGATTTTAAATTCAAACAATAGATTTAATTTAATTATTTGACTTTTATACATTTTTTAAAATATTTTTTCAATTAAATTATTATTAATTATGAAAATAACTAAAATACGCCAAGAGCAGTTTAGTATTGTCTTTCCTCAGTAAGATACGTGCTGCAACGTAGTACCGATTGCTAGAAGTAACATTTTCCATAGTTTTAATGAAAAGACAGTTTTAGAAGTAAAACCATACACAAACCATAAAGAATATATAAGTGTTAAATATGTGAAATCAAAGTAATTAATCAGTAATAATGGTAATAATGTTCAGTTTACATATAAAGTAATATCAGTGTTATTATTAAAACTGTTATTAATTACTTGTAATTTAATTATTTGACTTTTATAGACAATAAAAAATTCCATTCCCTAAAACTGTTTGCTCATTAACTGATTGAACAATTAATTACTTGGTTATTTGAGATTTCGCTCACAATCCTTTTACAGCCACGAAAATTTATCAAAAAAAAGTGTCATCTAGCAGGCATGCAAATACTAATAATAATTAAAAAATAATTAAATAAATGATTCTATTCATAATTAAAAATAAATAAATAAAATGGGGAGGTTATTAATAACATTTAAAAATAAATGAATGATTCTATTTATAATTTGAAATTAAAAATAAGTATATCTCTACTCATAATTAAAAACTTAAATCAACCATTCTTAAGCAAAAAAAAATCACAAAAGTTTAGATGTCTTGAAGATATAAGTGTAAGATGAAAGAAAATATATCGAATCTGGATATAATTTTCACCATAATCTTCATGACAGGCTGAATTGTTGAAGCAACATTTTCATTCCGTTTCTATCATTTTCAATTATTAATTAATTAATTAACTATTAATTAATTGTCATTGTCAATAAAGAACTACTTTTACTCAAAGTATTACATGTCACTGTATGAATGTTACAAAATTCGCAAAATAAGAAGGCTTAAAATGGCATAAAAATTTTGAATTCTTTATTCAGAATGATTCTTTTTCATGAATAGAATTGCCTATGAAATATGTCATTTTCGCCTATGTTCTATAAGTAATACAAACAGAATTTACTTAATAATTGAGCATATATTTTTCATATTTTACACGTAGTCCACGCAGATTACGGTCTTTCTCTTATTGTGGTTATCATCAGTTTGTTTCCAATTGATTTAGAGCTTAATTGTGTTCACGTTTATAAAAAACTGCCGTAAACATCAAAATCAAATAAAATTATCTAGCAAATTGAATGTTTGTGTAAAAGCTTTAATTAATTTAAAGTATTATCACTGTAAGTATTTGCCATATTAAATTAATAAATGCATTTTAATTATGCACAAAATTAGCGAGATTTAATTCATTACTTTAGCGCTAATATTTTTGCTTTACAAAAATGCTAGGCTATTATAGAATAGAATAATTAAAAATGATAAAAAATATGCAAATTTTTGGCTCATTTCGCAGCATTTATTTGAAAATGAATTTTCAATTTTTTAAATTGCTTGCATAGAAGAAGAATGTTCTGCACAAATTGTTAGTTTGACCTTTTATTAATCTCAAAAGAAGTAGAAATAAATCGGAGTGGCCTATCGAAAATATGTCAAGTAGTGTAATAATTTAACACAAATTCTTTTCCTTATTCATTTTAATAATTTTACTTAATAATAACAAATTATATTATAAAATTAATTCAATTTGTCAATCAGTTATTTATATTTTCTAAATTAATGATATTAACAATTAGTACAAAATAAAAAACCACACTTGTAGAATTGATATTAATGCAATTTTCTTTTCACTTTTTAATCACAAAACTTTGCATCAAATTTTAATCCCTCAATATTATTTTATAGTTTTATTCATTTCTGTTTATTCACATTACCAAAATTTGATTATTTAATATAATTTGAATTTAAATTATCAAATTCTTTTATAGGTTATATATCTTATTGCTTTTTAATATTTAATTTTTTAAGCAAAGTTTTTTTTGGTTTGTTTATTTTAAGAGATTTATTTTTATATTCTATGCATATTTCAACGGTTTAATTTCAGAAAACGTTGAAATAATTTGTTAATAATTTAAAAAAGGTAATCTAATTTGTACTGCATATTTTAATAATAAATTTTTTAAATGAAAATTTAAAAAATAAATTTTATAAGATTTTGAAAATACAGCCATGCAGATTAATGTCGTATCAGCCATGTACTGCACTTATAACTGGCGGTTGCGGATTTATCGGGTCAAATTTTATCAACTATGTGTTCGAAAAATGGCCTACAACTTGGTAATGTCTATAATTTTGTCTTTAAATTTTTTTAAAACTAACTTGACCTTTCACTTCAAATGTTTACTGCCATTTCTATTTAAACTAAGTTAAATATAAATGGTATAAAATAAATAAATAGGTTTCTAAAGGTCAGTAGGATTATTCTCGGTCAGTAGGATTACTCGTGAGAATTACAAGTAATAATATGTGTATATAAAGCATAACTAATGATACAGAAATTTAATTTAGCTTTGTCAATGTTGATAAAATGAGAGATGGAGTTTCTGAAACAAATATCGCTGAAAAAATTCGACATTCAAATCGTTACAAACTTTTTAAGAGAACAATTAGAGATGCAGATTTACTTCTCAGTGTTTTTTCAAAATATCAGGTTTTAATTTGAATAATTAATTCAAATTTTTTCAAAAAGCCATTTATTGAATAAGCTAATTTAAAAGTATAAAACTTTTGCAGTAATAACTGTATTTGAAAAATTACTTGTGATTTATTTTGTGGAGTTTTTTTAATATTTTTATATTCTTATACAGAATCGAAATTATTTTTTAGCAATTATATATATTAATAAATAAATATAGCGTAACGATTTTAATCATAAATTTTAATAAAAATAGAAATTAAAAGTTATTAGGTAGATACTGTAATACATTTTGCTGCACTAACACACGTGGATGAATCTTTTAATGATCGAATGGGAACTATTGAAGAGAATATTATGTCTATGACAATTTTACTCGAGACAATTACCTTTCGATTCAGTGGTATAAAACGTTTTATACATATCAGTACAGGTATATACCATTATTAGTTATAAAAACTTGAAGAACATTCTGTAAGATTGAACAAATGGATAAAGACTTCATTTGATCTGATCTGATCTGATCTGATCATTTCAGTGTATTTTTGCTTGATTATTCATTTACTTTCATTTCATTATTTTTCAAGTTTTATTTTTTACTAAATTTATAAAGTACTAAATTTCAGATGAAGTTTATGGTGAATCAAAAGAGAATAGTTTGCCAAAATCTGAATACTCAGTGTTGAATCCAACAAATCCATATGCTGCTAGTAAAGCTTCCTGTGAAATGATTCTAAATGCATATTGGGTAAGATTTTAGTGCTTAATTTCTATAAAGCTAAATAATAGATTCAGAAAATATTTCTAAAAATAGTAATTTCGGAGGTGCAAAAATTTGCATAATTATTACAAGTATATTTTTTGATATAATTTAATAATAGTTATGTAATTGCGGTTAATTAAACAGCTGGTAATAAATTTTTTTACTCACAGATGACTTGTATAAGTTGTATGTGCACAATACAACTTATACAAGTTAATTTTCAATTTTAGATTTATTCTGCTTTAAATTTCAAACGTTTTAATTATATTAAACGAACTTGCATTTTTTAATTATTTGAAAGTTAATTTAAAGGACTTGGATATTTTAAGTATATTTACTTAAAATATCCAAGTCCTTTAAATTAATTTGTTTAATAAATAATAAAGCAAACAGCGTGTAAAATTTTTGAGAAATTAATTGAATAACAGCTTAAGCATTTGCTTATTTTAAAAAAACAAAACTTTATAACTTATTTCAGAAACGGTTAAATTCTTTTACAGTTTGATTTTTACAGCATTCATATAAAATACCATTTATAACAGTTCGAATGAACAATGTGTATGGTCCAAATCAAAGTGGACTAAATTTGATACCTAAATTTATAACTTTGGCGGTTGAAAACAAGCCTTTTCCACTGATGGGTGATGGCATGCACAAAAGGTTTTAATTTTTAGCTAAATTGTAAAAATTAAAACTTGAGTTTTAATAAAATTTGCGCTTTCTGTACAATGAGCTTAACGTAAGAATTCAGTTACTGAATAAAATGATAGCGTAATGATGTATTTGTGAGAATGGATGGAAGATACTTTAGTGGAATATTTTGATCAAAAAACGTGTATATTCCTTGATAGTTTACGATTTTTCATGTTCATGAAGTATGGTATTAGTATTAAAAGAATGCTTCAAGAAAGTCTTCCGTTTTGAAATTTGTTGCTTTAAAATTAATTGGTTTTAAATTTCGAAGCTGAAAAATTATTGCACAAATTTGAATATGGATTACATAAAATTTGAATATGGACTACATAAAATTTGAATATGGATTACACAAAATTTGAATATGGATTACATAAAATTTGAATATGGACTGCATAAAATTTGAATATGGATTACATAAAATTTGAATATGGATTACATAAAATTTGAATATGGATTGCATAAAATTTGAATGTGAATTACCTAAATGTTGCACATTTTGCACATTTATGCTTTTTGGTTAAAAATATCACATGCTTATAAAGACTAATTAACTCACAAAAAATATAATTTAGCTAAAATTTGTGCACTGATAAAATGAATGGACATTGATAAATATTTAACTTTTTATGCTTTATCCTTTGTGATTTTGTATTGATTCGTAATACTTTGTGATTGATAATTCAGATCTGATGAATTCTAAGTGAATGAAACATTTCAGAAACTGGATTCATGTAAATGATTGTGCAGACGCAATTAAACGTGTGTGTGAAATGGGTAAAATTGGTGACATTTATAATATTGGAACAGACTTTGAAATTACTAATTATGATGTAACGCTGCTGATTCATCAAACAGTCAATGAACTGTTACAACGGTCTGAATTTCACGTAGTTGAATAGAATTTTGCTGCATAAATTATTAGAAAAAATATTTTTGAATAATTTGAAGAAGTAAATTACATTCAAATTATTTTTAAAATTTAAAAAAACTAAAAGTTAGACTGAAATCAATTAAAATATTTGAGGATTATCCTACTGAATACCGAAATTGGCACTGATCAAATGATTGCTTGAATAATAAATATACATTACTTGTATTTAACTTCACGAATTGTTACTTTTTTGAAGTACGTTTTACAGACGTATCACCATGAATTTAATTGAATTGTTATAAGTATTATTCAAATTTTTTAGGGAGATGAGTGAACCTAAATTTGAAACTATAATTGATCGACCATATCACGATCGTCAATATTGCATTGATTTTATCAAAATTAGTCAAGAATTGAATTGGAAAGCTATTATTGAATTTAGGGATGGTTTACGTAGTACAGTAGAACATTACGTGGAGCAGTACTTCAAGAAATATGCAGATTGACTTCTTTGATATTATGCAAATTATTTGTACTTGATAATTATACCAAAAAATAAAAATTTAATATATGTATGTGATGAAGCATAATTAAATAATTATTAATTCAATGCGTAGTAATTTCCCTTGTAAGTTTTAATGAAAAAGTTAGATGAAATAACAAATTTAGCTTAAAATTTCTAGCTTAACTTGTCCTTTGAACTTATTTCTCTTTATTTTTTCTAATATTAGCAGTAATTTAGAAACACGTAAAACACGTAATTTAGAAACATTTACTTTCAACATGTAAATGAAGTAAAATGTCTCGATGGTATCTGAAAAATTAATGAATCGATGAGCGCAACAGCATTCTTCTAAAAAATAAACCGCCTTAAACGATTGACAATTTTTTGGGGGAACATTGTGACAAATATAAAATGGTACATCTCTGCCGACTGGTTTCTATGTAGTAAAAGTTTAAAAATATCAAATCAGTTGTTTAAAAATATCAACTTTAATATTTTTTGAAAAACTTTTGTGTAAAGCAGTACTTGCATTGATATAGTCTTATTCGTTTTTCATATCCTTAGCTTGATTTAATCAATAATTGCATATTTAAATCGATCACAATAAAAAGCAAATTCAAATTCGCTTTAGAAGTAAAAATTCAAATTCAAAAAATAATAATTTACTAAAATTGATCAATTTTTCGATGAATAATACAAATTGTATCAAATACATTGTATTAGAAGTACTATCTTCAAGAATTCATTGTTGCGGAACAGAAACTAACTTCTAAAAAATGATTCATTTATGAGTAAACAAATATTTAACCAGTAATTTTTTACTTGAAAAAAACTTTACCTTTTTAAATAACACTGAAATAAGTGTTGATACTTTTGGTTAAAATTTTCATTTACTTGCAATTACTTTTTTCACTTCTTACTTTACTGCTTGGAAGTTACCACAAATATTTATTGATATCATAAAATTTGCATATTTGCAAATTACTGTGAATCATTTTGTCCATTTAAGGCTTGAATGCAAGTCAAGTATATTCTGATAATTTTACTTGCGTCAAATATCATCGTAAAAGGTTGCCTTCAAAAAGCAAAGAAGGAAATAAGTAAGTTATTGCTTTAATAAATATATCGATGATAAAAGTATAAAATATTTTTTGACAAAGCCATACTGATAAAGATATAAATTCTTTTGGTACTTAATTGATATTTTACAATTTTAAGAAAATTTTCAAGTAATTAATTACTTCAGTAATTTTGTACTGATTACTATCAACTAAGAATACATATTACAACTGCTAAATACTAATGTTAAGGTTTAAATTATACAATACTAAGCTATTTTTTAATGACAGTTCATTACAGATACCAAATGTAAAACAGCATTAGATTGCCCACAAGATAGTCCTTATGTCTGCCAAAATGGAAGTTGTACAAGTTTTGAAAATATTGTTACTTCAAAAACTGGTAAATTTAAATAATTTGATAGAAATAAAAATTTTATAATCATTTGAAAAATTTATTCAAAAGTAATAAATTTATAGCAAAACCAGTTTTTCATTGTACGACATTTCTGGATTGCGCGCCAGGCATCAGATGCAAAAATGGAAAATGCGTCAAAGCATAACTCTCAAAATTTGTAACTTTGTGATAATATAATTTTTATAAATATTTTTTTCTTTTTTGTCAAATAAAATGTTTTAAAAATTGTAAAAATTTTTAAAATTATTTTTTGTTCAAAAAACTTTTTTATAGACAAAAGAATAGTTTATTTGATCTCAGTCTACTTGCTTGTTTGTATTTTGAGTATAGTTAGATTTAATATAAAACTTTGTTATTCCTACACTTTTGCAAATAATGCTTTTATTTAAAATAGAAAATCCTTTTTGCTTATTAAATTATTAAAAAATGTAATAGTGTAAAACAACTACAAAACATTTTTGTTCATAATACTATCAGAAGCGAAAAATACGTCAAATTTGCTGATCTGATCACTGTCCACTGCATACTGTCCACTGTCCACTGTCCACTTTATAATTTGTCCAATTCATTATTGCATGCACAAAATATGCTGGATTTTTCTTAAAATAAAAAAATATATTTCAAAGAATACAGCACGAAGTTAAAATTGCTTCAAATTTGAGCTCGATTGATTGCACAAAACACTGCATCAATAAAATTGCTTGCATTTTGCAGAACTTAAAATAATAAAGTAAAGTAATCAGAATAAAACTAAAAATTTTAAGCGAGTAGTGATATGAACATAGGACTTGAAGATTCTGAATCTTGCATATTTCTTATGATGGTAACAAAAAATCCAAAGTTGAGAGTATTTTGGATTTAGCTGATTTTTAATTGAATTGGATTTGAATATATTGCACAAATAGGTCAGATCATTTCGAAGCCATAAATCAGATCACTTCACAGCCATGAATCAAAGCCACAAATCAGATCATCTGACAGAGTCACTTTCAAATAATCATTGCTAGTCTAAAAAGGTATTCTTATGCGATTGGATTCATTTTTTATTTCATGACTGAAATGGGATTAACTCTTAACAATAACCTTACTATCATTGTATTATATTACTGTGAAAAATTTTACTGACAATTTTTTTGACAGCAACTTGTTAGCATTTAAAAAATTGTCCATTTTTCCTAATACATGATGTATTATACAAATACACTAATCAACATCAACATATTAAACAAAAAATTATTTGAAATTTTGTATTTGCTTTTTTTCTGAAACACTGTACTTGTTATTTATTTAGACAACAGTAAATGTATTGTAGGAATATTTTTATTCTAAAAATAAGCACTGTATTCATTTCTGAAGAACATTAATTCTATACAGTACAAATATGATCTGACTTTATTGACAACATCTTGTACTAAATAAATATATATGGCCAATTTTTTTATCTGTGCCTTATAAAATTCTAAACACTCACTTATACATTTATTTTATTTCAACAATAATAGTACTTGTTGTGTATAAATCCATGTTTTGACCTTTTGTATCATTAATAGTTTTATAATTTTACGATGGAATATTCAGTATAAAAGGATTCAAACATTAACAAATATTACATTTCTGTCACTAGTTTTATTAATAGAAATTAATTACTTAATATTTTATAGCAAGCATTAATAATTCTGATAATAGAAAATAAACATTATTTTGTCTGTCATACTATTATTTCCTTAATTGTCAGATATTATCAAGTGGTGCATGGAGTATTTTTGCTAAACTCTTTATTAATATTAATTTAATTTCTAAATTATACAAATACTACCAAAAAATGAATTCTTTTGAATTTTCACCGAAAAATTTACTCTCTAATTACAATCATTAACTTTAATTGTAAATGATTTCACTAATTTTTATTTTTAAAAGGAAAAAAATAATTTGGCATCATTTACAAAACGTACTATCAGTGAATAAATTAAGTCGATGTATCGTATTCAAACTTTACGATATCAGAATTAACTTCTTTCCATCTGTTAATAGTATAGTATATTCTAGCATTTTGAACTTTCAGTTTTCGTGAATTCAAACATAAAATTATAATTTCAGCGTATATTTTCACGTAATATGATGACGTACTCAATATTTTTATTTCTCCTATTGATGCCATTGATTGTGATCGAATGCAAAAAAGGTTTATATTAAAGATAAAATGACATGATATAACACTGTAATTTTAAAGATTATTTCTGATTAAAAGGATTGGATATATCTGATATCACACATGCACCTCTTTTGTACAATAATAATAATAATTATTATTATAACTATAATTATCAAATAGGATATTACATGAATTCAATGTTTGACTGCGGTGACAACGAAGACGTATCGAGAAGAGACCGAGGTAACATTCTCAGATTACACAATAAATTGAGAATGCGACTGGCTACTGGAGAAGAGAAGGACAGAAGTGGCAGATATATGCCAAAAGCTAAAAATATGTCAAAATTTGTTAGTTATACTTATTTTTGAATATTTTTGCGGGTGAAATTATTAAGAAAGGCGAAAAAATATGCAAGCAATAAAGGGATTTGAATGTCTTTTGAAAAAATACTATCAAATGATAAGCCTTTAAGGTAAATGTACATTTCACGTCTTCTAAGTAAAAGCATATCAGCCACCGACACAGTGACAACTATTAGTTTGCTCATAATAATAATGCAAGTAAAATAATAATAATAATAATAATAATAAAACAATTTAGAAATGGAACTGTTCACTTGAAAAATCTGCGAGAGACTCGGATAAAAGATGTCAGTTTGCGCACACGTCTTTTCTTGATGACAAAAGTGAAAATCTAGCATTTCGAGCTAATTCAAGTCGGACTAACAGTAATATTTTGTCTTATTTAAAGCATTTTATTGAAGCAAAAATTTGCATATAGCAATTTATGCATTGGACAGTGATAAATTTTTGTAAGTGCTAAGCAAATTGAAAGTTTTACTTATTATTTTTTACCAAAATACACCTAACTTTTTACAGTACAAATGCGAAGATATATACCAAGCATGATCAGAGCTTGGTGGAATGAGCTCCATACTGACCATACCTTGTATTTATCTAATACACCAAGTGGAGCAGCAAACCATTTCTATGCTGCATGTTTTTGCATGATAATAATTTATTAGTAAAAGTTAAATTCACTACAATAAGTATAATTTATAGATGCACAAAAAACTTTTTTCAATAATAAATTTTACAAGTTCTACTTTCGACATATATCACGTTAAGTCCTATTAAGGACGTCTATTACGTTAAATACTATTAAGGCAATTGATTTAAACGACTTTTCAGATGGCTTGGGCTAAAACTACACAAGTTGGTTGTGCTACATGCGCCAAGTATGATGATGGAATGCCTTTTATTTATCTTCGATGCCAGTATTATCCGAAGTAATTTTCGATTTTTTAAAAATTATCTGAAAATTGTTAAAAAAGTTTTACTCACGTACGTATATCACTTAACTCTTTTTATTAAAAAAAATTATACGTTATAATTTCAATTTTAGAGGTGTATTCAGTAACCAAAAAATCTATGATACCGGTGAACCCTGTACTGGTTGTCAAAATGGTACTTACTGCCGAAGAAAAGCACTTTGTGGTGAAAAGTAATTGCTGCAAAACATTTACAGTCTAAATATTACCAACAAAATTTTAATATGTTTCTTTTTCTACAGCTTATAATTTTATACCTCACTTTATTTCATTTATACCTGAACGTCAAAGTATTAAACATTGAACGTGTGTGCGTGTAATCGTGAAATGATGTTATTACTCAGTAAAATATTAACTTGCAACAATATCTGTGCTTAGTAATACATCAATTACAACGTATCCGACAAAAACGTCAACATTTTTAGCAAAAAAGATTTTGTGATAATCGTTAAAATTAATCATATATCATCATAATGGAATGTTATTAGTAAATATAAGAAGAAAATATTAAAAAAAACAATATAAAGCAATAATATAAAGAATCTTCTCAATTGTAATTGCATTGTTTTTCGCAATTTTCAAATATTTGAAATCAAAATAGCCGGAAATGAAAGCAAGAAGTGTGAGATGTGCAATAACTCATACGTGTGGCATATTACTTTCAACTCTTACGCACGCAAACTAAAGTCGTCAATAAATCACTTTTGTCTCAGACGTAACGATAATTTATGTCCAGTCGCACCGAGCCGAACCTTAAACAAAAAGCATTCATTCTGAGTTTAAATTCACATTGTGTACAAGAAATGCTTCAGAAATTACTCGATAAATGAATATTATGCAATTTGAATTATTTTCGGTAAATGATTACAATTTTTTCTTTTTCTCAAAAATTTCTGATAAATTTTGCATTTACAAATATATACAGAAGATATTTTTTATATATTTAACTCAGTTATACAAAATATTTTTTACTCATTTAATGCATACTAATTTTATATTAGTTGTTTTTGTTTTTATAAACAAGAAACATTTTTATTACTCAATACAAATTACTCATAATATTAATTAGATAAATAAGCAAGCAACAAAAAATTTTTTTTCACTGTTGGAAGAATATTTTTATAAATTATTAAATTAATTATTATTATAATTAATTTTATCTAAGTTTAGATTTCATTTCAATTGTTTGATAAAATCGTAGTTTCGAATTAATTTTGCTGATTCCAAATCATTCTGAATAACTTTATCACTCAGTGAATGCAAACATATTCTACGTGACAATTGCCTGAGAAGAACTTTAATTGAATTATGCGATGAACTTGAACTTAAAAATATTACGTTGAATTCCAAGTAATATACGTGCAAGCAATTTGCTCAAAGATGTTTTTAAAACAATTAATATTTATTATTTGCTTCAAAAATTCAAAAAATTTCAGTATCCTAATAAATTAGATGTAAACAAACGGATGTGTGTAAGAAATCTTATATGTATGATAGTTATCAGAAGAGTTTGATAAAAGTTACACATTTAAAAAACACATAAGCTTACTGTTACATATTAGACTGAAAAACTATTATAATTGGAAGAAAAATTTAAACTTTATAAATATCTTATTTTTTACAATTTTTTTATTTAAATTAAAATTTTAAATTTGTAAAAATAACTTTAAATTTGTAAAATTTCATAGATAGAAATACTTTTTTGAAATTAAGAATTAAAAAAATAATTATGAGTAAAATTTTTATTCAATTACACTAAATATAAATTTGCTTTCAGTGCTAGAAAAAGTAATAGTCGCCAGAAGGGTTTTTATGTATGCGTAAAATTTGCTCATTAAAAAATTGTATTAGATAATTGAATTGCTTCGAAAAAAGAAAAATTAATAGTCAAAGTTAAACACAACTGAAGAAAAAGCATCAAAATTTCCAACTTCTAAAACAATTTTGAATGTATAATTTTCGAATTAATTATGCAATAAAGCATTAAGTATTATTTGATAAAGAATTTTTGATATAATTATTATTGATGTTTATTACTTATAATATTAAGTATTACTTGATTATTACAATAAAGCATTAAGTATTACTTGTTTATTACTAATCAAAAGAGGTAATCAATCACCTTTACTAGTATCTGGTAATCAGAAGTATTATAATATTATAATTAAGCATTTTTTAGAATATGCGAAGAATCATTAATTATAAATTTGATTCAGCAATACGGGCATGATATTATTTTTGTAATGAACAACACTTGTTATCATACTTGAAAATGAGTGGGTAGAATAAACGGGTCAAAGTATCAAATGTCAATTATCGATTCCGAAATAAAGCCTCAAAGTTTTTTTATTCTATGGTAGTTTTGGGTTTTATTGTGATTGCATATTGAGATTTATAATGTGCTATGCGTTGTTAAAAATGCTATGTAAACACTCGCCTAAATGTCCGAGCCAAAAATACCTAGTATTAATTACCAAAAATTTATTCCTTATTACCAGATATCCAGAATTGATTACTAGTTACCAAATATATAGTATTGATTACCATAGAATTCCTTTTCGCAGTATAAATAATAATGAGAATTTGGGCACTATTTTAACATTATTTACTCTCGTAATTGATTATTATTATTTAACTTTTACAAAAAATCTGTAAAACCAGCTAAATCGCTGCTTAAATTTTCGTTGTATTGGTTGTATCAATTAATTGTAGATAAAAAATAATTCAGAAGTCACATTATCCATCTCTGTGACAAAATAGATGGCAATTTAACGTGATGATACCAGTTTGCCCTCCCTCATTTTCACCTGTTTCACGGATTCATTTGACTGATCGAGAATTAAGGCATCATTTATTAATAATTGTACATTAATACGAAAATTTTTGATCTGTGATTGATTTGATTTCTTGCCAGAAATATTTATTCATTTCTAGCATATGCAAATTTGTAATGTATTCATTTAGCTTCAATTTCTGATAGTGAGCTGTAGTCAGCTTTTTTTAATTCTGGATATATCACTATGAATACAAGCTGATTATCTTTCCACCATCCAGCTGGATTTTTTATTCAATTTGCAGCAGCATAAATCCAACACATATCCAAAATAATTTGAGACTGCTCATTTACAAGACAGAATTTAACGAAACCAAACGTACCCACAAAGTGGCATATTAAATATTATATAATATAGTCTATAGGTTGCAAGGCATGGTTCTGAGGGTTAAAACCGAAAACTTTAAGGTACGAAGGAGGTGATATCTGAAATGATGTATTTACTGAGTTACACCTCTAGACAAATTTCCGATGCCAACAAAAACAGTGCATAAAATTATTTGCTTTTATGCTGTAGTCAAGCGCTATTAGAAGTAATATATCTCAAAACATGAATTTCAAAGCACTAAAATGATTTTAATTAAATTTTATGTTGAGATTTGATTCTAGGTTGAGATTTTTTTTAATTTAAAAATTTTGTTACATTTTATTGTTTAACAATTATTTCTTTTTTTAAAAATTAAAAATAAATTTAAATTTAAAAATTTAAAAAAAAATTTGAACCTAAAGTTTACTTATTTTAGTACGTTTAAATTCACGTTTTGAGATATAATGTTGTAATCAGAGTTGTAATCAGTATAATATAGTATATAAAATTGTGTACATTTTGTAGTTTAACAATTATTTCTTTTTTACTCAAAGCGGGCAAATTATTGAGATCTTAAAGTAATATGATAACAAATGATAATAATTATCAAAAATCATGATTTATAGGTATATATGTAACAGTTTTTAAATTCCAGTATTGCATTTTGAGTAATAATTATGCTAATATTTAACTATGCAATTAAATATTATTATTATTCTATTCCATTATTAGGGAATTTGCATTTTTGCCTCAAAACTGAATTGCGATAAGATATAAGTATACGTACACAAAAGCAGATCATAACATACGATCATTTAGTTAGAGTATTAGACTCGATGAGAGAATATGAAAAGATATGAGAAACCAAATGATACCTATTGATTGGTACCATGTAGAAGCGATGGTGGTAAGAGTAAGAAAAAGAAGATAAAGTAGGGAAAAATAGAAAAGAGAGGTAATTCCATGACCAAATTGAGATTGAGAATCAGAGAGAGAAAGTAAAAAGTGGTGAGGAAAGATGGAACCAGAAGACAGACATACTACTGGAGCAGCACACCTCACCAGACAGACACTCTAGTGTGCTACCACTATTGCCATTGTTACCTTATACAATGATATATATGTTTAGTTACCCTGGTCAGTATAGCTTTAACCACAATCATATTCAGTGTTTGTAGTCATGAGCATAACTGGTGGGTAGTTGTTACTACCGCGGTATCGCTCTAAATAGACAGTTGGTTAGTTGTCTCCCTCTATTGACGTTTGTTCTAGCACCAATGTATCAATCCATTAAGTTATGCTTTTTCCATACTCGAAGCACTATCCTCAGTGTTGCTCATTTTTAGATTGAAAACAATTTGTAGTTCAAATTCAAGTAACCATTTGGCTTGGAATTACTCTTAGGTAACGAAGACAAAGGTGATAACTGCGTTGGTGTGTGCATTTAAATATATATGCTTATGTATTATTTGTATGCGTGTGCGTATGCGTATGACTGACCTAATGGTGTGCTTTCAGTACATGTAAACAAAATATATTATTTTTGGTTCTCAAAAATCAATAGCAATGGTAGCAAGTGGACATTGTTGATTAGTACTTGCTGTCTGGTCATCAGTTTGGAAAATTAGGAAAGGTCACAGTTCGTGTCTAAAGCGCTTCAAGAAAATTTTAACATTTTTGTTTTTAATGAAAAATTTTTTTGAAGCGGAAATAACTTTGACCTTTCCTAATTTTGAGATAAGTCCTAAAATTGTAGACGTCACGTGAGAATTAAAATCTAAAAATTTCTTTATTTTTTATTTCTTACTTTATTGATCGTTTGTATGGACTCAAAAGTCTAGTGACCTTAAAGCGTTTGCTTTTACTCCAAATTAATCCATTTTAGTTTTATACTTTTTTTTTTGTATAACACATTTATGTCAATAATCTTTACACGTAACGTTATTTTTCACGTATTCTATAAGATTTGTTATTTGTGAAGAATATTTGTTCTTGAAATTATTTTGGAAATCACCAAACTTCTTTAACCATTAGATTAATCATTTTGAATTGTGATTGATGGGTTTGGTACTTTGATGCTCCTTAAAATTCACGTAGATACCAAAGTTATCCTAAGTGCACTACTTTATGTATTGCAGTAACTTTGCTACGACCCTATGGCTCAAGGAGAAGAATTGTTCTTGATTGAAAAAAGTCCTGAAATGACTGTCGTAGAGAATGGTACCGATGATTTCCGTAGGTTTTAATATGTATTTGATCACGCAAGCATTTCATGCCCTTCATGTATTTTTTGACAGCACCATGTATTGTTTTGTGCTGCATTTGTGCTCAGTAGACTTTTTTCCCTGACTCATTTTGCGATCTTGATTATTTTTAATATATCTTCTACTGTATAAAAGTTGACTTAAACCTTTTAACACATTTTATTATTATTATTATTATCATTATTACTATTATCATTATTATTATTATCATTATTACTATTATTAATATTACTATTACTATTTGGTAATAAGTAATAACTGCGGTAAACATTTAAGAACTTCCAATTAAATTTGAGTGCAGCATTAATGTTGTTTATTTCTTGTGAAATCAGAATGTATAGGTTGTTGATTGAGAAGAACTTTGTTATGGTTATTGCGAAGAAAATCATTCTTAGCCCATTTCCTTTTTACTGTTAATTAAATTATGTTTCTTTTCTGTTTCAGAAGCTTCGTCGAAGACAAAAGGGTCATTTCACCGAGTAGCAATGTTGCGGCAGAGGCGCTTAAACAGTATGTTATATTCAGTTATTTGTAATTTACAAAAATATTTCTTTTTTTTTTCAAAAATTTGCATCATTGTGTTGATGTCATTTACATTAATGGTTAAATTTATTACAAAAATGAGAGGCTATAATGTGTGTTTTAATTTTGCCTCCGATAATTAGTAAAGATTTAATTTCAATAATTCTGTAGTATTGTATCAATTTAATGGGTATTACGGTTAAGGATTCTTATTTTTAACATTTATGAAAATGGAACTCAATTTCTGCCACTTTTAAAATGATTCCATCCTTCATTAATGCCTTGATTTCGGTTTTTTTTAGCTGGAACAAATAAAGTGTTCGGCGAAGTGTATAATTCACGTGGAAAGTTGAACGATCTTTATCGTCGGAAAGCTGTGAATTCTCTGCATATTACGGAATCAGTGCCCGAACATATTACACAACTTGACTTTTTATCACTGATACCTAACGAACTTCGAAGTGATCAACGAATTGTCAATGATTTGGTAAAGCGTTTGTCGGAAGCGGCTCGACATCGACAGCGAATTGCTCGAGCTAATTTTATTTATCGTCATGAAGCACAACGTTTGTTAGAAATCTTCAAGTTAGTATGCAAGTTATCTTTTTCTTGTAAGTTTTCTGGGTTGGAATGATTTTTGTGACAACCTTAATAATACACACGCATACAACTTTTTCGGTTTTTGAATTCAGCAAACTTTTAATAAGTTAGCCTTATTCTTTTAATCATTTTGATTCCATTTTTAATGTGCATTTGGAAATGATTTGAAATATGGATGATTTTTGTTCAGTGGATACGAAAAGATACGTGGGGCAAGATTTAAAGGTTTGATAAAGTTGGTTTTAAAAAAGAGCAGTGGAAAGAAGTCTTAAATAATTTTTACTTTTAGTCGCAAATATTATTTTCTCTTGTACACTGCAAGCTTGTAGTGTAGTATTTTTACAGCAGTGTGTTAAATCGTAATTTTATTTCTCTAGTGAATCCATTCATCGCGAGGAGCAGTGTTTGAAGCTCGCTAAACTGATCAGTGATGTTCGCAACGAACGTCAATGGAAGGGAAGTATGCCAAGTGTGGAGTGGTTTTTGCGACGTAAAAAAGGTGTTGTTTCATCGAAAAATCAGGAAGTGGATAAAAATGGTCAGTATATTTCTTTATTTCTATAATTTTTGTTTTCTTCATTTAATGCCAGAATATGAAAAAAAGAATATTTGAATATATGTGTATGAATTGCGCCTAAGTACATCAGTGCTGTAGTTCTTTCCATTTTTGATGGTAATATTTTATTAAATACTTCCAAAAATATGCTTCAACTAAATCAATTAATAAAATAATCTTCACGAATTAAAAAAAAGGGACTAAGAAGCTAATAATTGCCTTCAAATATTTTCATGATCACTTTGTTGACATTGAATTACTTTCTGCGCTTCTTTTTTCACCGACTAACCACATGTTATTTTCAATATACAAATGAAGGTTTTTCTTAGACAGCTGAAGCAGTAATCATTATAATTATATAGGATGAATTATTACAATTATGTAGGTCG